AACCACCGACAAAAATAGAAAAGTTTTAAACAGACCGCCAGAACGCTTTCGTTGCTTCCGCCTCTGTCTTCCTGCTCGGATATCACACTTCGTGTTGAATCGTATTAAATCGGCTGCATTCGTCAAACGTAAACTACTTCTTCTACGGTGTCAAATTAACAACCAACTGCACTACTGCCACCTATAGGGTCAATTTGGAAAGGCATTTCTAAAAAAAAAATAATAAACCATTCAACCATTGTAGTTCTAGAATTGCGCCGCTCAAGGTGGCTGCATGTTGGAGCAGCTCTGTTACTTTCATTCTGAGATTTTGCTTTTGGAAACTTTAATTCCTCTTTTTCTGGATGTAAATCACATTTTTTTGGATGATTGTTTCCTCTGGTATCAGATGCTGTGCAGCTGGAAGGATTTTTACTGAAACTTTTTTAGTTTTGGACATTTGTTATGATGCGTAACCATGGCAACAAGGCAGTTTTCTACAACCAACAGCTGCTGATTAAGGTCAAAAGCTCAAATAATATCTCAGCTACAGCCCCAAATCTCAAATGAGTTGAAAGGATGTTCTGTGGATGCATTCTCATCTACCTGCCAGGTGTGCTCGAGTGCCTGACCACTGAGATCCTGGAACTAGCAGGAAACATGGCTCATGACAGCGGAAGGACAGGATCGTCCCTCGGCACCTACAGTTGGCTGTCCACAGCAATGAGGAGTTCAGCAGTCCGCTGGGAGGAGTGGCCATCGCTCTGGGAGGAGTTCTGCCCAACATTCGGGTGGTCCTACAACCCGGTGGAACCGAGAGGCCAGCCGAGTCTGGGTGGACGGATCAGACGGCATCTGCAGCCAGTTTCTTAGGATCCACTGTGGGATGGACCTTTACAAGAGATCCTTCCTGTCTACAGCCATCAGCATCTATAACATCTCTTAATGAAATGAAGATAACGAGTTACAACAACAAATAATTTCCCTCTGGGATTAATAAAGTATTTTTTAATTGAATTGAATTGAATTGAATTGAACCTTGTTACCGATACCATTCAGATTAAATTTAAGGCCAAGAATACCAAAATATTTAACATTATATTCTACAGAACAATTTGTGCAAAACAACCAACATGTTATATAAACAATGTGATAGATGTAGTAGTGTAGTAGTGAAAATATGTCTACTTTTTATGCACAAGGACAGTCATTCATCCCAGTGTTAAAGAAAACAAAACAAATACATAAATAAAACACAAAACATCTGGACTTCTATTCAGTAGTTGAAAACATTTGCTTACCATCCAGGAAGCTTTCTCAATTCAAAACTGTAGAGTAATGTTTACAAATGAAGATAATTCCTGTATTTTTGTAAATTAGAATAAAATACATTTACAGTGTTTATCATTTATATTTATTGTCAGAATTAAAATTAACATACATATTTAAAATATGTTAATCAGCATAGTTAAATGTCTTTGAAATATCCAATTGAATCATCCATTGTATTTTACTTTACTTACTTTATTACCTTATCTTCTGTTCTGATTTGGCGCTATACTGTATAAGTAAACTGAATTGAATTGAGTTAAGTGATGCTAAGACCAGGAAGTGATGCTGTTTAAGTTGCTGAAATGTGGAGATAGGTAGAAGTGCTGATGCTAAAGTTATCTGATTGCATCCTAATCATGTTTGTATTAGGAGTGATCTAATAAGATGCATATGCAAACAAAATTCACATGCAGATTAATTTCACTCCCCTCCCACTAAAGCATCATTATGGTCTACGTTTGCTTGGTTCAGAAGATAAACAATTTGGTCACATACATAAGGAAATTTCTTTTGGCTGCTCCCTTCTGAAGAGGTTGCTGCGAGCATTAAGGTGTGAATTAAAGTGAAAATGACTTGGTATCAGGCTTAATGGCCAGCTAGCAAAATTGTGATGTTGCTGTCCCGGCAGATAGACATTCAAGTTTTTTTTTTTTTTAATAATCCATATACAGTACATTACACAGTACAGTACCAGTAGAACTACGTATAAGGCAGACAGAAATCAAGCAGAGTCAGCCTGACTGTGTTATCTGAATCTGGCTCTCCTGTGTTTGCCTTGAATTGACCAACTATCTCAAACTCTCCTGGATGTTATGTGAACTAGAAGCTCTGCTCCTCCCCTACCCGCTCCCTTCCTGAGGACATCTGTGGACCTGTATCAGAGCTGAGCCGGCTGATAGACACTGCACCATCTTTTATCAGGACTATGGAGACTATCTGGTAGTGTCCATGGAAAAACTCACTGACTTTGTCAGCCTCCTCATGCATATACGTATTATGATGTCATCAGTATGTTGCCGTTTCTGTGCTGAGTTTTTTTGTTCGTTCCAACTTTCAGTGTCCCATCTAGGACACAGTGTGAGATATGATTATTATTATTATTTTTTTTGTATTTCCCCTTCCCCCGTGTTTCTCTTTTCCTATCTAACGAAAATGGCAGCACCTCCCACGAGGCCGCAGCCTCAGACACTCCGTCTTCCCATGTCTGTTGTTTATGTTTTACTTGGACGGGCTGTACTGAAATGTAATTGAGATGTTTTTGTGTTGTGCTTCAGTGCAATGACAAAAAAAAACTGATTCTGATTTTGATAAAAACAAACACCTTTGCGCCTTTTCTGCTCTGAGAAATTCTCCTATAAAAGAGCATAATCAGTGACAACGGGCAGCCCTGGCAGAGTTAATTGGGACTCTCTGTCCAAGGCCTCACTGAACTGAAGAATCAGTTTTGTGTTGTGTGTTTCCTTGACTGATGAAGCCTTCCGGATGGAAGGTGAAACGTATCAGCAAAAAAAGAAACTGTCCAGATGACCTGACTGAAAATTGTTGGATTGTATACCTGGATTATTGAGCATGGACATTTTTGGCCTCACTGAACTCCTCACATATCTGAGCCAGCAGCCCACTTGGCCCTCTTTCCAGGGTTGAATGATCACAAAGTCAATGAAGAAAACAACAACTGGTTGCATAATCTTCAGTTTATTTTCTTTACTTCACATGTTGTCAAATTATCTATGCATTCTCAAATACTGTATGTACATTCGCTCCAACTATTATTTGTTTAAACATCTCTTAAGTTGCAAATCAGTTTGATGTATTTTGAATCCATCAACAAGTTACTGATGAGATTCTGGCTGGATTTTTGACTGTTCTTCTTGCAGAATTGACAGCGGAATATACAAACTTCTATCCAAGTCTCAACCATGTAGCTGTTGATTTGAGCTGAAGTTGGAGACTTTGAAAGCAGTCCTCCTTCATTATTCCATCCTTTTTGTGAAATGCACAAGTACAACGCTACCACTATCATGTTGTTTCAGTGTCACCTCAGAAACACATCAAATAGAAGACATTTTAAAGGTTTTATAGTACTGTTTTTTTATGTCTTTCATATTCTTTAAAACACCTTTATTCATTAAAATACTTGAGTTTCTTGTAGCTGTACAGAAAGGTGAGAAGTTCAGTTATCTAGGAGAGACTCAGAATAGAACTGCTTCTCCTCCACATCAGTAGGAACCAGTAGAGGTAGTTAGGGTACGGATGCACCTGGACACCATCCTAGGGAGGCATTCTGGGCTTTTCCAACTGAGAGGAGACCCTGGGGAAGACCCAGGATACACTAGAGAGACTACGTCTGTCATGGGAACACCTTCAAGTCATCCTGGAAGAGATGGCTGTGAAAAGAAATGTCTGAGCCTCCCTGCTGAAGATGCTGCCCTGCAACCTGCCTCCAGAACAATCACCAGATGATTGATTGATTAATGGATGACTGGATGGATGGATTACAAAAACACACAACAGATTCCAACATGTCATTATTTAATAAACAATATTGAAGCCAAAACTAAGGCTGGTCAGGGTTTACTAAATAAATGCACTTGATTACCTGATCATTAACAATGTGAATATAATAAAAGATTTGCAAGCTAATTTTGGCTGCTTGCTGCTCTGGAGGGTATAAAAACACATCAGCACTGATCTTAGAGAAGTAACTGTTGCTGCCCATCAGGTTGGAAAAGGTCAAAGATGGTTTCCAAACAATTTCTAATTCACCATTCAAGAGAAAAAAAAGATTAGTCACAAGTAAAAGTTAAATAAAACAGCTGCTCACACCCACAGGAGTGGATGTCCTAGCAAATTCAGGCTCCATGTTCAGATCATTCACTGCTCAGAGACATGATAAAAGACCCAATAAGATTCATGTCAGACTCTACAGGACTAAGTTAGCAATTAGAACAAGATTTAAATATGTCTTGTTTGGAAGGATTGCAGGAGAAAGCCCCTCTCAAAAAACATGTCAGCATGTCTCAAGCTTACAAAGTTGTTTCTGATCAAACTGCAAGACTTCTGGAAAAATTCTGGATGAATGAGATGTTTACTCAAAATGAACAGTGCTCTGTTTGAAGGAAACCAAATACAGCACATCAGCACATACACCTCACACCAAGTGTCTGCACGGTGCAGGAGTGATGATGATGAGATGATTTGGGCTTTGTTTAGTAACCACAGGACTTGGACACCTTGATGTCAGTGAGTCGATCATGAACTCCTCTCTAGAGACAAATGTGAGGACATTAATCTTGGACCAAACTGGATCATGATGCAACAAGAAGATGATCCTAAACAAATGTAAGCAACAAGTCTACAACAGCTGTGGAAAAAAGATTTAAGGTGCTGGAATGGTCCAGTCATTAACCTGACTGAATATTTGTGACAGGACCCTTAAAGAGCTGTGCAGAAACAAAAGTGCACCAAATTCAATAAATGGAAACGTTTACTCTGACTCCATTGATATTCACTGATAAGTTTTGACTGGAACCAGAAAGCCAAGATTTGGATCTTAGATTGATTACAGCTTCCATCATTACAGAACTGGAAGAGAAAAGAAAGTTCACAAGGAATCATTTAGAAGAGTTTCAGAAAGAAACACACCAACTACTTTTAAATCTGAAAACATGTTGGAGTGAAACAATCTATTCACCAGTAAGAGTGTTTCTCTGACAGGATAAGACTTGATATGAAACTCAACACAGGAACACAGAGGAACCAGCAAAAACTCTAAATCCAGGATAAAGAGGTTCAGTGAATGTTGTTTTGAAGGTGTGGAGGAGGACCAGTGAGTCAGAGAGTTTGTAGAAAGACAGACTGCCGGCAGGACAGTCCACATACACTGCTACTTTGCTAGAGACAGAAGAGGAGGAGGAGGAGATGATCGTTCCTCTGCCATTGTGACAGACAGAGTAACCGCTGACATCAGAGCAGATCAGACTCCACGACTGATCATTTCTTCCAAACACACAGTCATTATTGTGTCCTTTCCTGCTGATCCCTCTGTAACTCACTGATATAAAAACGGTTCCTTTCCACTCTACCTCCCAGTAACAACGACCGGTCAGACCTCTACACAGCAGCTGAGACAAGGAACCATCAAATCTGTCTGGATGATCAGGGTACAGCTGCTCCTGCTCCACATGTGTCACCTTCCTGTTGTTGTCAGACAGTTTGAGGTCTCTGCTCACTGTGTTTGTATCGATCGTCAGCTGACAGGAATCTGATGAAGAGAACAAACACAATGCAGTTGCAGCCATTGATTCATCATCTGATCATTTACTTTGATCATGATTCATAAATGAGTGATGCAGTTTGAAAACAGTTGAATGTTTGCTGCTTTGTTGTCATAAATAAAATGAGAAACACACTTACACCTCCATGGGCCTGGGTTCAAGTATTGGACTCCAGCAGGCTCCACTCTGAAAATAGGGGGTTTGGGGGGGGGGGGGGGGGTTGTCAGACCGTCAGTCTCGTTTTAGAAGCAACTCTTGAACACAGATTGTTCTATATTAATATACATTAATATACAAAGTCCAACAATAAGAGGCATTCACTTGAGAGTAGAAAGTCCTGGGGCTTCATGTTTCAAAGGGGTGTACGCACAAACAGGTTGTGATCTGCTTTCTGATACATTCAATATTATTTTCCAATATGTATGACCTTTATAATCCTTTTATTACTTTAAGGTCATTGTGAATGCTTTGGTATCATTGTTTGTGAGTCAGGCGTCAGTAGCAGCTGGCCAGATGTGCTTATCGTGTATAACACAAAGGGCAGGGAGAGGCGATACGTTTCTACAAATCTAATCTTTTCTGGTCGGGAAAACAGAACCAGATCAGAACTGGAGCAGGGAAAGCCTTGGAAGTTCTGTACTTCTAATGGTTTTGCTTCCTGTGTTCTGACGACTGTTCCCCACAAAACTTTGCATTACTAAATTTGATTAAATTTACACGTGTCCTGTTGTGAATCTTTTTTTTTTTAACAGGATCAAAAAGCTCATCTTGACTCCTCTAGTTTTATGTCTTCTCACTGGGAGACAATAATTGATTTTGTTTTATCTAACTATAAAACCTTTTTCCAGGAAATACTGTTACAAACACACTACATATCATTGAGCTCTGAGCAAAACTTATTTAGTAATTTAAATTAATAATTGTACTTTACTGATTATTTATTTTTAACTTGTTAATGTAACTAAGCTGTTATTTCTTTGAGTATCTCAATAAGATAGAAAGGCACTATACAAGTACAGTCCATTTACCATTTCCTGTTCCCAGTCTTTGTGCTAAACTGAACTAACCATGTCCTGAATTAATCCCTAATCAGAGATAATCTGATCCAAAATCAAAGGACCTAGAAATCTTCCTTTGAGATGCAGAGAGCTGTCTAAAATTAATTTCTGACTAACAGGTAGATAGTTTTTAGAGATGTTTTTATTATGGACACCATTTAAAAATTTCTGCTGTTTTGTATGGTAAGTGTTGTGGGCCAGAGGCTGGGTGAAGGAAACAGAACACATTTCCAGCTGTTCCTCCTCTATCCAACACAGTGTGCAGCTGTAGCAGGTCTCTCCATACCTGAGAGTCTTAAGACTCCAGTAAGAATTCCTCAGTCCATCTGAGAGCAGCTTTGTTCCTGAGTCTCCTGGATGATTGTAGCTCAAGTCCAACTCAATCAGATAGGAAGAGTTGGACCTCAGAGCTGAGTCCAGAGAAGCACAGCCTTCTTCTGTGATCAGACAGCCTGACAAGCTGCAGAAACACAAATCAACACATGTGATGTATACAGAATCAGGTGATATACTTCATACCTAAGGCAATAAGGAACACATTCTGTATACACAGGGACACAAAAAAAATCATTGCTATAGACACAGATAGACCAAACGTCCCTACCTTCTCTCACTGTTGGAAAGTGAAGCCAACAGGAACCATTTAACAGAAGCCACCATGTTGTGTTTTTGAAACCAGAGGATGAACATTAGTGATGTTCTGTTCTGTTCTGAGGTCCACTGTTTTTATAGTCTTTGGATGAGATTGAAACTGAAGTTGCTGTAAGATTGTTTCTGTGATTTTATGAAATATGAGATGAGTGTCTCTCCTCCTTGAATCGCCACCTTATCGTGGTGGAGGAGTTTGTGCGGCTGAATGATCCTAGGAGCTATGCTGTCACAGGCAATTATAATTGCCCCATGTAAGGTCTCCCAAGGCAGATTGGTCCTAGATGACTGGCCAGATAAAGAGCGATTCAGATTTTTATGGACATGACATAGAAAGGAACTCTGTGTTCCTTGCCCGGACGTGGGTTACTGGGGCCTCACCCTGGAACCAGGCCTGGGGGAGGAGCTCATCGACGAGCACCTGATGACCAGGTCTCTACCCATGGGGCCCGGTCGGGCTCAGCCCGAAGGAGCAGCATGGGTTTGCCTTCCTGTGGACCCACCACCTGCAGGAAGGGCCATAAAAGCCAGGTGCGTGATGCCATGGGCAGTGGCCAAGGGCAGGGAACTTGGCGCTCTGACCCTGGCTTACCAAAGCTGGCTCTTGGGACATGAAATGTGACCTCTCTGGTGGGGAAGGAGCCTGAGTTTGTGCGTGAGGTTGAGAGGTACCGACTAGATATAGTTGAGTTCACCACAGCATGGACTGTGGAACCAACCTCCTTGAGAGGGGCTGGAACTTATTTTACTCTGGAGTTGTCCATGGTGAGAGGCATCAAGCTGGTGTGGGTGTACTTACCATACCATACCAATTTATTTATAGAGCACTTAAAACAGCAACAAGGCCAACCAAAGTGCTGTACAAAAGAAAACAAACATGCACAGCGGACAGGAAAACATAAAATAAAAATACAGATACAAATAGCAGCAGAAGCTAACTAAAATGGTCAATAGTGTAGAGTACAGACAGGACCAAAACAAATCACACCGTGTTAAAGGCAAGAGAATAGAAGTGGGTCTTCAAGCGAGACTTAAAGACTGAGAGTGTGGGAGCCTGCCGGACACTCAGTGGCAACTCATTCCACAGTCGTGGACCTGCAACAGAGAAAGCCCTGTCACCTCTGAGCTTACGACGTGTTTCTGGGACTGAGAGAAGCATCTGGTCTGCTGACCTCAGAGAGCGCAGTGGGACATATGGTTGCAGAAGATCAGTGAGATAGGATGGGGCGGAACTGTTCAGTGATTTAAAAACATTCATGAGAATTTTGAATTGGATCCGAAGGTGAATGGGTAGCCAGTGCAGGGAGGCCAAAACTGGCGTGATGTGCTCTCTATAGCCTGTACCAGTTAAAAATCGGGCTGCAGCATTTTGGACCAGTTGTAGACGTGCAATGGAGGACTGACTGATTCCAAACAGAAGTGAATTGCAGTAATCAAGCCTAGATGTTATGAAGGCGTGGATCACTGTCTCAAGGTTCTTTTTGGAGAGTATAGGCTTCAGCTTAGACAGCCGTCTCAGCTGAAAAAAAACAGGATTTGACCATCATGTTTACGTGACTGTTGAGTTTTAAGGACGGGTCCATTATCACCCCTAGATTAGTGACCTTTTGTTTCTCTAGCGGGGCTAGAGAGAAAAGGTCAATGTCATGGTTCGTGAGTGAGCCACTGGGATGGAACAGCATGACTTCAGACTTCTTCTCATTGAAGCTTAAGAAGTTTAAAGCCATCCAGTCCCGGATGTCAGCCAGGCAGTCAAGAAGAGGCTGAATAGAGCATGTGCCTCTGTGCCTCAGAGGGAAGTAAATTTGGCAATCATCGGCGTAGAAATGAAAGGGTATGTTGTGTTTGCGGAAAATAGCACCTAGTGGCAGCAGGTATAAAGAAAAGAGAAGGGGACCGAGGATGGACCCCTGCGGTATCCCCCACTGGAGCGCTGTCGATGCCAAACTAAAATCTTTGATATTGACACAGAAGGTTCTGTCAGAGAGGTAGGACCAAAACCATTTAAAGGCTGACCCTGTGATGCTCACCCACTGCTCCAGTCTAGAAATGAGGATCTTGTGGTCGATGGGGTCAAAAGCAGATGTAAGGTCCAATAGGACAAGCAGCACAGAATCACCTGCGTCTTTGGATATGAAAATGTCATTAAAAACCTTCAGTAGAGCAGTTTCAGTGCTATGGAGCGATTTGAAGCCAGATTGGAATAACTCTAGGATAGCGTGATCCCCCAAAAACTGTTTCAACACAATTTTTTCCAGTAGTTTAGAGGTGAATGGGAGTCTGGAGACAGGCCGGAAGTTGGACATGACTGAGGGGTGAAGGTTAGGTTTTTTCAGGACGGGCTGGACAGCACATGTTAAAAAGTTTTTGGCACCACACCTGAGGATAAACTGCTATTCAGAATAGCGAGAATAAAAGGACACAGGGTAGGAAAAACTTCCTTTAGTAGTCGAGGGGGGACCACATCAAAGGGGGAACCAGATGGCTTCATGCTGCACATTACCTGCTCCAGAGAGGACAGAGAGATGGGCTCAAAGTGGTCAAACACAGCCACACACTGAGATGGGATGGACAGATCATGAGCTGGTGGAGAAATGAGTGCCCGGGTTTTTGCCACTTTTTCTAAAAAGAAATGGAGGAAATTTTCACACAGCTCAGTTGAGGCTTCCAGAGGTGAAGGCTCACTGAGGTGTAGAACTGAGTTCAGGGTGGAGAAAAGAACTCGGGGGTTGTGGGAGTTGGAGACAATTAAATCAGAGAAGAATTTACATTTGGCAGCTTTAACGGTTTTCTGATAGTGATGCCAACTCTCTCTTAACATTTGAAAAGAAATTTGCAGCCTGTCCTTCCTCCACCTTCGTTCAGCTCTGCGACACTGCTGCCTAACGGCTCGAGTGACGTCATTCAGCCAAGGCTCTGATCTAAGTTTCGTTTCTCTGGTTTTAAGGGGAGCAACACGGTCCAGAACATTTAAACAGGCAGAGTTGAACTGAGAGGTTAGCTCCTCAGTGGTAAGAGACACCGAGAGCTGTTCGATCCTCTCAGAGTTAAAACCTTCATTAAAACGAGCAGCAGTGAAATGGTTAATCGAACGAGTAGTACGTGCAGGAACGCACGTCTTAGCAGTAGGACAAGGGGGGTGAAGTCAAACAATACAGGCATGTGATCTGAAAAAACATTGTCACCGATTTTCAAATTAGAAACAGAGACATCGCATGTTAAAACGAGGTCCAGCGTGTGACCGTGTTCTTGGGTGGGACCGTTTACCTGCTGAGTTAAATTAAAAGAGTCCAATAAATCTAGAAAGTCCTTCACTAAGGGCTTCTCCTGACAACACACATGCAAATTAAAGTCACCAATAAACAAAAAGTGAGTGTATCTCTGAGTGATATCAGCCAAAAAGTCAGAGAATTCATTTATGAAGTCCTTGGATCGAGGGGGGCGGTAGACGAGTGCGCACAGAACCGGAGGAGAGTGTCTGAGTTCAAAGACGCTTAGCTCAAAGCTGGCGCGGGACACCGGGATGGACAACTGTTTACAGGCCAAGTTTGCTTTCAAAACTGTTAATAATCCCCCCCCCCCCCCCCCCCCCCGC